TAAATCAAAGCTACTTTGCTTAAACAATTACCTTAAAATGCATTAAAAGGGTGATATTATATAGACTTCATTTACTCCCATGGTAACCAAGCTAAGGGATAATTTTTCCCAAGGAGATTTTCTGATGGCTCAAAGGGAAAATATGGAAGGTACACGTAAGTCCTCTTCTTTCTTCTCTTAGCTGAACCATCCATTCTGTACAGCTGTTCTTTAGAATCCACAGAATGACTTCAGCTTCTGCTGACAAGCACAGCAACCCACCAAGGAACGCAAAATGACACAGTTCCTCCAAAAATTGTCATGACAAAGTAGATAAATATGATGCACATTGTTTAATTGGCATGCAATGGGATTATTTTCTTCAGTGTTAGGCCTTAGGATTATGAACATATATTTAGTCTCTACTGGATTCTGAGGCTATGTCAAATCAAAAACCAGCTTTCAACTTTCAATTTTTTTTTCTACTATAGAAGAATATATGTGATGCTAGTGGTCTGCATTCTCTTGGTAGACCAAACAACTTTTAGGCTCAGCATTGCCTACACAGTGTCTTTTATTCACCAAGACCTGTAAAATAAGGGCCAGCTGGAAGAGACACAAGTTTTCTTGGATCATGGTGAGGACTGGACAAACATAGTAAATTGTTTAATTAACAAATATTCAAAGTCACAAATAAGGCTTTGTATAACACTAATGTTAGTGACCACGTAAGTTCAATATGGAAGCCTCCTGTCCATTTTCTTTGTTGTTGTATCCTGAGAGCCAGGCACATGCCAGGTTGGTTTAGTTGGCTGTCTGTGTCGGTATGGGTGTGGAGACCACAGCACATATGTACTCATGCAGGGAGTACCTACTGTAATATGCCAGACCCTTTGTGCCGGGACACAAGGTTTCTGCCTTCACACATGTCACATTGACCAGGAGGAATGTGGGAGAAAGAAACTTGAGAGAAACATACAACCTTGCATGGGTTTAATAAATATTTTAAATAACAATTATATTTTAAAACTGTTATTATAAATCCAACAAGAATACTATTTTCTGGAATTGAAGAAAAAGTTTTTAAAATTTATATTTATCTTTGTTACCTCAGTAAGTAGACATTAACCATAAGCAGGAATTTGCTTTGAATTTACTCTTTTTGGGACTCAATAAAACTAGCTTTTTAAAAAAATTAACATATTTTTAGTATCAAATCACCTTTCCTATGTTCTTAGCTAACTTCAATTGAACAATTTGCAAATGGGCTACTTATTACAAAAGACGGTGTTAAATATAAAGTTACACATATCATTTCATAGAGTATCTTGACAGTTTATAATAGCAGATTCGCTATTACTGATTTTGTGACAGCTTTGTCTCCATGGAATCTGCTCTTTAAGGTACTACCCTAAACCAAAAATATCGCACTTATATAAATGATTACATATCTGAAAACTATTTTGTTTTATATCACTAGCAGTTATACAATCCATAATAATTAAATACCAATTTATCTTAATGTTTACACATTCAATCTCTTGCAATAGGTTGTAGTAAAGTGCCTTGAGAAAAATTAATCTGGTTTTAATGAGAAGCAATAAATAGTATTTAGGGCAAATGACTATTAATGACTTCTGTATGACTATTAATCTAAAGCAGATAGATGTTTTGCATGTTGAATGAGATACAAAATCAAGATGGTCATTAAAAACAGCAGTAATGGCATTTTCCAGTAAGAACATTTACTGATACCCTCTGAGTGGATTCCAATTCATGAGATCACAGCCAGAATTGCCAAGCTCTCTTATAGTTCCAATTGGCATATTTCTCCACTTTTTGCTGAAAGGACATGGTGTCCCATTTTTAATAGTTCACTAGGTCTCCCAAAGGCAGTATGTTGGAGTGAGCCTGAAGATTTTAGTTACATATCAACATGTGGCTATAAAAATTACTTTTCCTTCCCAAATCACACACACACACACACACACACTTTTAAGAAAGTTAGTAAATGCATCAATTATTTTATTCATTCACACACAAAAAATGTTGAGTTCCTATTAGGTACCAAGCACTGTGCTAATAAATATGTCTCGGTGATTAAAAGAAGGAGAAAAAAATTTGGTCAGTGCCCAACTGTCTGGATCTACAATGAGAGAAAAAGCATAAAGAAGGGAGTCTTTATGACCTTGATAGTTGTTCTTTCATTTTAACTACATTCCTAAAAATCTGTTTTCTTCATTTATGAAATGAAGATGTTGGATTTTATAGTCATTTTACAAATTACTCCCCTAGGACCTGATTCTGGGAAGATTCTTTGGGGCTCCCTTGAAAAGCACCTCAAACTAAGAACTCTGCAAGGCCACCCTCTGCCCCTGATTTCTTTGATACAGCTCTCTAAACTGTATGGTTTACCTATTTGAGCTGCCAGTTAAATTTTTATTTGAAGGGAGTTTCAAGGCCAAGAACCAATTTGTAAGTCACTAGGCTAGATAGTCTTTTAAGTTTTCTTGCAGTTTCATCACTAAACGAGTCTAGGAAATGTTTTACTCTGGTTTTATAATTTTGAAGTAATTATTTTTAGAAGTGCACTGATCTGTCACTAATCATTGATAATAAAAGCTACCAAATTACATTGCACTTCGAATCCTTCCTTCCACTTACCAGCTGTGTGATCTTGGGCAAGTTTGTTCGTAAAAGTCAGTCTTCTCTTTTATAAAAGGAGATAAGAGTAGAATCTACATCACTAGGGTAGAATTCATTATTGTTTGGAAATTTCTTAATTTGGTATTGGGCACACAGTAAGTCACAGAATCAATTCCAGAGTCCATAGTTTCCTGGATGTTAGAAGCTGAATTCATTGCTCATGATGCAGGATCTCTGCTATACAACTAAAAAGTTATGTGATTCACCAATAGTTTTCATTTTCATATTGATGGAATTTTCCTTTCAGACACTCAATACTATATAAAGCTGAGTGCAAACATTTGTAGAACAGTTAAGTGAAACAGATAGGTGAAACTGTATTATTTTTTAATTATTCTTTTTATTTTAGAAAATAAATAATAAAGTAGATAAATTAAATGGCTTCTCAGAAATCAATAAATAACCAGCTTTAGACCCAGAAATCAAGCCAAAGATGACATTCCATGAAAATAATATCATAACTACATGAGTCAATAAAATATTATATTTAGATTCCACAAAATGAATTCTAGTTGAATGTCAGAGTTCTCAATATTCTGAATTTAGTATATAACACAGTCATTGTGACATTTTGTAAGGCCCACAAACAGTTGAGAGTCTTTCCTGATTTATTACAAAAATCAAGCAAATATTATTTTAACCTGATGAGTTTTAACAAACAAATCTAGAATAAACAGCTTTGTGAAAGCCTCGAGATCCATAAATAAGTTAAAGCAGTGGAAAATAAGGATGTTCTAAGAAGTTATATATAAGTAAAGGATAGGGAAATGTACCTAGTTTCTCTCTTTTTTGTGACCAGTTAAAAATACTAGTTTATTGTCAATGCTGGTTAATATATCTTATGATTCTATGCAGGAAAAAAAAAAAACAACTCCCATTTTTCCTCCCCAAATAAGAAATTAGCTATTTCTCTTTTTGGTAAAGATTCAGTCCCAAAAATTATAAAAAGAAGTTCTCTACTAGGGAAGCAATAACTAAAATAATGAGCATTTTTCTAAGAAGGAAGAGGGGGACAATTAGGATTGAATGCAGGCTGGAGCCAGGCCAAAAAAAAATTTTTTTTTTAATATTTTTACCTCTGTCCTAACATCTAGTAATTGGAGCTAAAAATTTCTTCCAGCTCTATGGAAGGGAAGAGGGAATTCTTTGGAAGATTTAACTGCCTCTCAGAGGAGCACAAGAAAAACACATCTTCAATGTGAGCACTGCATGTAGAGTACTTGCTTGGGAGATAGGTCCAACTGTCAACAGGGCCAGGAAACCCTCACGGACCACAAGGAGGATGATATTGCAAGTGTAGCAATTCAGGAGCTTTTGGAACAACCTATTTCTTCCAGAAGTGAGAGGCTATACCAATTTCCAGGGGCTTCTCTATCCTAATGGATTAGGCCAATATGTAGTCCCACCTCCTATGCAAGCTACAGGGCCTGGTATTAAAGTGATGCTCAGCAGATTTCTTGAGCAGCAAACAATTTTTTTAAGTGCAGCACAGATTTTCTTGGGGGCCCCAAGAGTGAATCAGAGACTCACTAGAGCCAGGAGAGAAGACATCCCTGTTTTGAGACATTGTAGGAAAAGTGGATGACAGTGCCATAAATATTAGTGGTGCTATTAATTTTTACCGTCCATTTTCTAGGCTAGTGCCTGGAAAAATTATTCATTAAAGATTATATGTTTCATTTCACTTGAACCTCATGATATCACTGTGGGGGAGATAGGATAAGAAATATTATTTCACTTTTGAGGAAATAACACTAAAAGTTCTATGTCTCAGTGGTTAAAAGACAGGGAACAGAATTTTTCAAACTATAATTCTTTCACCAGAATCTTAACCCCTTCACATTAAACTGCTAAAATTCCCATTTTGGGATCATGCGTATGAGATACTCTATGTATACAATTTTAGTCATATTTTCAAGTTATAATCATCCTAAACATGAAAATTATATGCATAAAATAATTTTAATGCCTAAATTTAGGGGACTTCAATATATAACAGCTTTATTGTTATAATTACATGTATGTGACAAAATTAAAAATAGATGGAAATCAGTGGGGTTCCTATGTAATCTTAAAAATTTAGACTTTCTACCCAATTTCCATGCATTTTAGACTTTCTATCTAATACCAAACATATTCTATTTTAGAGGTCAGATTTGTTATTGCCATTATTTGGCTTAAATTGTATGTTTTACCCCAAATCTAAAAGGAAACAAAATCATTGCTCTGTGGGTACCTGTTGCAGCAAGTGCGCTCACTCCACACTTACACTGTTTTGTGATATCTCTTGGTTCCTGTCTTTTTTTTTTTTTTTTTTTCAGCATGGGTGATTTTCCCTCTCCACCCTCTAGGTAATGTATGGTTGATTGCCCTTGATGCAAGACCAAGTCAGCTGAGATTAGTCACTCAGAAAAAATCAGTGTTGTCTTGGGCAATAGATTCAGCAAACATTTACAGGTTCAATATGTGCCAGTTGCTGTTTCACTGAGGTTATCACAACAAACTGAGGTAGGTACTATTACTCCTGCAACTCTGAAAGTTTTAAGGACTTGCTCAAGGTCATGGACCTAGTTATTGCTGGCATTCAAGCCAAGCTTTGGATTTCGAATGCATTTCTCTTTTTCCTATACCAACAACACATCCTGGCTAAAATCTCAGGGTATGAACGAACATTCGATAAGTCAACAGGAGCAAAAAGTGTAAAAAATGAAGGTCATGTTGCACAATCAGAAATTGGAAGGTAGGGGTGCCTGGGTGGCTCAGTCGTTAAGCGTCTGCCTTCGGCTCAGGTCATGATCCCAGGGTCCTGGGATCGAGCCCCGCATCAGGCTCCCTGCTCGGCAGGAAGCCTGCTTCTCCCTCTCACACTCCTCCTGCATGTGTTCCCTCTCTCGCTGTGTTTCTCTCTGTCAAATAAATAAATAAAATCTTAAAAAAAAAAAATTGGAAGGTAAAAATCTTGAATATGATAGTAACTGGCAAATCTAGAATCTTCAGTTAGTAATTAATTTAGTGATACATAGATGTTATGCTCACCTATAGCACCAACTGTGACTGAAAAGTCTATGTGTGCCCTTATCTTATATTATATACACAAACTAACTCCAAAATGGATCAAAGATCTAATGGAAGAGCTAATACTATGAATCTCTTAGAAGAAAACATAAATAAAAGCTCCATGACATTGGATTTGGCAATAATTTCTTAGATATGATACCCAAGTATAGGCAACAAAAGAAAAAATAGGAAAATTTGACTTTGTCAAAATTAAAATTTTTGTACTTTGAAGGATACTATCAACAGTGAAAAGGCAACTCATGGGAGTTGGGAGAAAAATTTGCAAATCTTATATCTGATAACGATTAATATCCAGAATATATAAAGAACTTCTACAACTCCACAGCAGCAATAAAAAACCCAAACAACCCAATTAAAAAATGGGCAAAGGTCTTGAATATACAACTCCCGAAAGAAGACATACAAATGGCCAATAACATATTAAAAGATACTCAACATCACTAATCATTAGGAAAATGCAAATCAAAACCGTGAGACATTAATAGATACCCTTTAAGATGATTAGTATTAAAAAAAAAAGAAAGAGAAAATACATGTTGGCAAGGGTATGGAGAAGTTGGGACCCTTGTGCTCTGCTGATGGGAATGTAAAATAGTGCAGTCACTAGGGAAGACAGTATGGCAATGCCTCAAAAAAATTAAACATAGAATTACCATATGACCCAGCAATTCTACATCTGGGTAAAAACCCAAAAGGATTGAAAGCAGGAACTCAAACAAATATCTGTATACCAGTATTATAGAATCATTATTCACAAGAGCTGAAAGGTAGAAGCAATCCAAATGTCCACTGATGAACAAAAGGATAAACAGAATGTGGCACATGCATACAATGGAATATTATTTAGCTTTAAAAGAAGAGAAAATCCAGTATATAATACAGCATGAATGAACCTTGAAAATGTTATGCTAAGTGACACAAACTAAATGCAAAAAGACAAATAGTATTATGATTCCACTTATAGGAGATACCTAGAATAGTCAAATTCATAGAGACAGAAAGTAGAAGAGTAGTTACCAGGGAATAAGTAATTGTTGCTCTGTGGGTACAGGGCTTAATTTGAGATGATACGAAATTTCTGTAAGTGGAATAGTAGTGATGGTTATGTAACAATTGAAATGTCATTAATGCCACGAAACTGTCCATGGTAAATGGTTAAAGTGGTAAAGTTTATGTTATGTATATTATACCACAATTTAAAAAATAATAATATCCCTGCCATTACATAAGAAAGGTGAGTAAGCAATCCTTTAAAAAAAAATAAGTATATGTGTAGATTGAGGTCAGAGATTAGAGGAAGGCACATACAACATACCTTTCTCTGAATACTGACAATGCAGTTTTTCCATTTATTCAACATTGAAAAGCACGTTAAGGTTTTCATCCACTTATTCATAAGATAAGCAAGTCATGGTTCCTTTGCTCAAAAAGTTTACAGACTATTTTGAATAAACATTATGTCACACACAAACCTGTGATGCCAAGTCAGTTTTCATCTCTCATTTATTCAACAAATAATTATTGAATGTCTAGCACATGCCAGGAATTACTCTAGGCTCTGAGGACACTGTGGTGTATTAAAGCTCCTGTTGTAATACAGCTGACATTGCTTTGAGCGGAGACAGACAATAAACAAATGAGTAAATATGTAATATTGGATGGTGATCAATTCTGGGGGAAAATAAAACAGTGTAAGGGGTAGATGGAGTAACTGGGTTGTTGGTAGCAGAGTGAGGGATATTTTAAAAAATGGCCAGTGACCTTTCAGAAAAAAGAATGATAAAGTGATGTTGCAGCAGAGAACTGAATGAAAGGAAAAGCAAACAATGTGGATTTATACAGAAGTATTCCAGGAAGAGGAAAGTTGAATTGTAAAAGCTCTGAGATAAGGATATTCTTGGGTGTTCAAAAAAGAGTATGAAGGTCAGTATAAATGGAGCAAAGGTTTTTGTTTGTTTGTTTGTTTGTTTTGTTTTGTTCTTTTAAAGAAATACTCCAAATTTTAAAGGTAGGGAGATGAGAAATAATCAACAAAGGTCATTGAGATGCAGTGTTGAATGAGATGGAGCAGAACCAAGTGAAGAAATTTCCTCAAGAAGGAGAGCACCTGGGTGGGCTCAGTCATTTAAGCATCTGCCTTCAGCTCAGGTCATCATGCCAGGGTCCTGCGTTGGAGTCCGCATCAGGCTCCCTGCTCAGAAGGGGGCCTGCTTCTCCCTCTCCCTCTGCCCCTCCCTCCTGCTCATTCATGTTCTCTCTCTCTCAAATAAGTAAATAAAAATAAAAATAAAATAAAATGATAAAAAGAATGAGGAGAACACTGGAGAGAAATGTGTGTTGAGGAAGGTTTTTATCTAAATGAAAAAAACAAAAGCATGTTTTCATGTTGAAAGCACTGATCCAATAGGACAAATTGATGTGGTAGAGAAAGGAAGCAATGGCTAAAGTCTTTGAGAAGGTAAGAAAGGATGTGATTTAATGCACAAGTAGAAGTGATGGGTGCAACAGGTGGGGCCCTCTACAGTTTTAGGCAGGAAAGCAGAATATGTAATGTGGGTGCAGTTAGGTGGGTAAATGCACCACAAATGTACATTTTCTTCTGATTTCTTTTATTTTCTCAGTGAAATAGAAAACAAAGTCACAAAGACTCCATCTGAGAGTGAGGGGACAGGTGATATGAGAGACAAAGGTGTGAAATTGTTTCTAGGGGTGTATTTGAGTCTAAAGCAGTAAGGAAACAGTATGGTTGAAGGCAACATATTCAGGGATTATTTGAGGTTTGTGGTCATGAATTTACACAGAATATACAGCATGGCTGTGTTTTTATTCAGCCACATTGCCCAGGTGGGGGTGCAAATAGTTTGAGAGTTGAATCGAACAATGTTGGGGTTTTGCCAGAAGAATGTAATGGAAACAATGATATTGGGAGTGTAAGGAAGGTCATTAATCCACAATGGATTATTGAATAAATGAGCTGTGTGGGGAGAGAAATAAGGACACAGTTCAGGGACAAGGGCGCAGTAAAAAGGTGATAGGATTAATGGATAGTAGGTCCCATTTGGATAAAGAATTTTTGGAGCTGGGACACTAGAGGGAATAAACCAGATAGATAGGAGACAGTAGTTAGACTGAAGTGCTAGAAACGGAGATTGTGGAAGAGGCACTATTCTTAGACCTCAACTATGACCACAGGAACAGGTGATTGAGCGAGTGGGAATAACAGAAGTGGATCAAAGAACTGAGATTCCAAAATTTTTTGTGGAATCACTATGAAATATGATTATAGTGACAGCCGGATTATAAACTCTTCAGGGACAGGAATCTCCCGAAATATTTGTACTTGTAGGCTGTTGGACTCACTGTTCATCTGTCTGAAGCATTTTCTCACCATAAATTCATAAAATTCAGCCTCTTATTGCTTCAAATTTCCCCTAAAATATCTCCTCATAAATAGGGCTTCCTACTCCCCAGCTACAATAGCACCACCACCCCTCTAGGGGCTACCCCCACCTTTTTACTCCAGTTTGGTTTTCCTCATACCACTTATCTCCACTGGGCATGTTTTCTATCCATTCATTTGCATGTTTATTATTTATTTTAGACAAAGTCTCCAATGCAAGTGCCATATGGACAGAAATTCTGCATTTAGTAGCAACTGTTGTTGTATTCCCAGCAATTAAAATGGTGTCTGATATACAGTAACCACTTAATAAATATGAATTGTTGAAAGAGTCTCAAATTATCACCAGTTATCTCTGGGGTAATAGCACTGAAGGAATTATTAAAGAGCAAATGATTTCAGAAGGGCTATTGGCCTATTTCTTTCCTTCCCATGTCTTATTTTATCATCACCTCTCCCCTTCTCCATCTCTCCCTGCTCTTCCTCTGATCCCTAAATGTTAGGGAGAAACACACTTAGATGTCCCCTCTCCACAAACCCATCTCTCAGCGCTGCTTTCTCTCTGGCTGCAGCCCCTTCACACGGAACTGGGAGGACATTCACTCTCTGCGCACCTCCCCCTCCTGCCCTCCCACCTCAAAATCTGCTGCAACCCCACTTCCACCACAACAGCTCTAGGAAGAAGTCCCTCAAAAGGTCAGTGATGACTTCATCCCCAAACAAAATGACATGGCTAGGCCTCAAAATACAAAAGTTAAGTTTGGGCTTGTCGGCTGGTTTCTTGGCTCCTCTAGCATCACTGTCAGTGCTACTCTAGCCCCTATCGATTTAACACTGTCCTTTTCACCCCTCAGTATCCAAGTCAGATGGCCGCTTCCCCGGCTGCACGGGGTCCCACTGTTGGTCATCCCACTCAGTGCGCTCTTCCTGGAGGTCCTATTTACTCCCAGGGCTTCCCTGGGGGCTGTATGTGGCTGATCTCCAGACTTCTGTTCTCCTTTGCCTCTTGAATTCATCGCCTTTTTACCTGCTTGCTTAACATCACTACTAAGAAGACTGTGACTTCTTTGTAGGCTATCTATTTATTTTGTATCCTCACTGCCCTCCTTTACAGATGAGCAGATGGAGGCACAGAGAGGCTTAGGAACTTAGCTGAGATCATACAGTTATGGAGCAGCCTATCAGAAGCATCACAGTTCAGGATTTGAACCTTGGGACTGGGTAAGTTACTTAACTGTTCTGTGCCTTGTTCTCTCATTTACAAAAGGGGATTAAAAAAAAAAATAGTCCCTTTGTAATGAACTACTGGGACTCCATCAAGATAAAAAGCTTTTGCACAGCAAAGGAAACAGTCAACAAAACCAAAAGACAACCGACAGAATGGGAGAAGATATTTGCAAATAACATATCAGATAAAGGGCTAGTATCCAAAATCTATAAAGAACTTATCAAACTCAACACCCAAAGAACAAATGATCCAATCAAGAAATGGGCAGAAGACATGAACAGACATTTTTCCAAAGAAGACATCCAAATGGCCAACAGACACATGAAAAACTACTCAACATCGCTCAGCATCAGGGAAATCCAAATCAAAACCTCAACGAGATACCACCTCACACCAGTCAGAATGGCTAAAATTAACAAGTCAGGAAACGACAGATGTTGGCGGGGATGCGGAGAAAGGGGAACCCTCCTCCACTGTTGGTGAAAATGCAAGCTGGTGCAGCCACTCTGGAAAACAGTGTGGAGGTTCCTCAAAAAGCTGAAAATAGAGCTACCCTATAACCCAGCAATTGCACTACTGGGTATTTACCCCAAAGATACAAATGTAGGGATCCAAAGGGGTATGTGCACCCCGATGTTTATAGCAGCAATGTCCACAATAGCCAAACTATGGAAAGATGTCCATCGACAGATGAATGGATAACGAAGATGTGGTGTATATATACAATAGAATATTATGCAGCCATCAAAAGGAATGAACTCTTGCCATTTGCAACAACATGGATGGAACTGGAGGGTATTATGCTGAGCGAAATAAGTCAATCAGAGAAAGACATGTACCATATGATCTCACTGATATGAGGAATTCTTAATCTCAGGAAACAAACTGAGGGTTGCTGGAGTGGTGGGGGTGAGAGGAATGGGGTGGCTGGGTTGATAGACATTGGGGAGGGTATGTGCTATGGTGAGCGCTGTGAATTGTGTAAGACTGATGAATCACAGACCTGTACCTCTGAAACAAATAATACATTATACGTTAAAAAAAAAAAAAGAAGAAAAAGAAGAAGATAGTCGGAAGGGAAAAATGAAGGGGGCAGTAATCAGAGGAAGAGATGAACCATGAGAAACTATGGACTCTGAGAAACAAACTGAGGGTTCTAGAGGGGAGGGGGGTGGGGGGATGTGTTAACCTGGTGATGGGTATTAAAGAGGGTATGTACTGAATGGAGCATTGGGTGTTATATGCAAACAGTGAATCATGGAACACTACATCAAAAACTAATGATGTAATGTATGGTGATTAACATAACATAATAAAATAAAAAAAATAGTCCCTTTGTCACAAGTTGGCTGCGAGAATTAAAATGAAATAAAAGTGTAAAGTACTTTAGAAGAGTACGTAGTAAATAGTAAATATATGTTAGGTGGTGTTTTCCTTACCTGGGGCCAGAGTCTGTTCCCTTTGCATTATATGCTATAGTGTAAGGAGCAAGACCTCCAAAGCAGGGAAAGATAGAAAGATTGTGAAATTCTACATGAAAAAAAAAATTCAAAAGAAAAAATACAGTAATACACTGTATGGAAAGAAAGAAAATCTACATGTTAAGAGTTTCACAGTTAATTTCACTGACATAGTATTTGAAATATATTTAGTTCATCACATCATAATACTGAGCTACATTAGATTTACCATCAAAATGGAAAAGTGTATATGGAATCTCTGACAGAATAATGAATAATTCTGTCATTTTCAAAGTCATAAAATTATTAATAACTTGAAGCTTTTGATAAATAACATGTCATTTTATCTCCTCAACTGTAAAAATTAGCTATTGGAGTCTAGAAATTAGCTTTCACCAGTGTTTTCACTTTTTAAAATAAGACAACAGGCCCAAAATAGAGTCTGTATGCTAAACCCCACATTACCAAACTGACACTTAATTACCGTTTCTGCCTCTCCCAGAAATGGAATCTTAAACCAGTCAATCAGGAATCACCTGATCAGCACTTGTAAAGTAGTCTCATAGACCCCCACCTGCCCTTAAGAGAAAGTGACTTTGCCACAACCAATCTGCTTTTTGCTGGTAGAACGTCCTCTGGAATTTAAGAGGTGAAGTAGAGCACAGAGTCTGGAGACCGGCCACATACAGCAACGGGGGAGGCCCTGAGAGTAAATGGGACCTCCAGGAAGTGCATACACTGAGTGAGATGACCAACAGTAGGATCCTACGGGGCAGGGGAAAGGGCCTTCCAACCTGGGTACTGATGAATGAAAAGCAGAGTATGGGAGAGAGTGATGCTAGAAGAGCCAAGAAACAAAAGCAAACAGAAGCTCATCAAAATGAGCTCCTGTTTTCCTTTCCCCAAACAATATGTTTTCATTCCTAATCTTAACAGGCCACCTATTCGAATAATTATTACAGGATAGAGTTTTGTCAAACTGACTAAATGCATTGTTGCTCCCTTTTAGGCAAAAAGCAGGATGATCCACTTCAGTGTGCTAAAGATACATACAGCTTTTTTTTTTTCCTTGAAGAAAATAAAGTGTGATAACCCATTATTGTCAGCAGTATCTATGGTAAAATATCAGACACTTGCCAAAGCCTTCCTCATCAATTTTGGTCCTCAAAGAGTTACCTGCCATTTGAAGTTCTAGAGCCTTTCTGTCTGTATCATATTTGAGGCTCAGTAATAATGTCTGTCCTTCTGGATCCTGCATTTTGTTATTGTCCTTCAACAGTACCTACACAATGTCAGCACATCTTGGACTGACTGAAGTATTCTAACACCATCATTTTAGAAGCAAGACTGCAGACAGGAGATAGTCATTCAAAGATATGACATCTGGATCTACTGAGTTCACCTTCTTTCGGTCTTGAATGGGGCAAGGGTAGAAGAGAGGGTACTGGAGCCAGAAACACCTGCTCTTGAACTCTGACTCTACCACTCAACGTTTAACACGGGGTTACATGGGCCTGTCAAGGTGTCAGTTTCCTCATCTGTAAAATAGGGGAAATACCACTCAGCTTATAAGCTTATAAGGAATTAAGGAAATGAGCACGTAAAATGCTTTTAATCAATGTTAGTTCACTTGAGCTAATATGAGAGAGTGCCTTTCTTGGTGATTTACCACTTAGAATAATAACTAGCATAAGCACCTACCCAATCAAAACCACCTTGCTCATCGCAGCAGTCCCTAGCACCATCCTAACTTTCTGCGAAGTGCATGGGTTTCTTTGTTACCAGGAGGCAAGGGTCTGAGATGACAGGCAGGTGAGTCATCTGTTTTTTCTTGCATGACTGCACCAATGGCAGTAAACAACATTTTAAAGGTAGCCAGACTGCATTTAATGCACTGTTTGAAACTCTTAACCTTGTTTTTATTTGATTCTTAGTGTCCTGCTGAAGAACATAAGTTTTCATTAAACTCTTTCTCATGGATTTGTGCTGGAGACATTATTATTCTCCATATGTCTATGGAAGAATAACTTTGCTTTAACCTCAAAGGCATATTTCCTTTTCTTTGAATCATTAGACAAAAGAAACCTTTATAGGATGTAGGAATGAGGCCTTCTTTGGTAAAACTAAAGGAGACACAAGAAACAGTTTTTTCCACTTGCCTAATAGATTGTGAAATCTTCCAGTGTAATTTGTATTTCTCAAAGAAGCACTTATCTTACCATGCTCCGTTTCATATTACTTTTCTATTTCTTAAGTCACCTGAGGAAATATTTAGTATAAATTAGATGTTTTTATCCATAAAATATCCTTGAATTTCCATTTTATAAATGAAAACATGGCAGTAAAAAAATCTAATCCTTAAAAAAACACTTTTAAAAGAGTGATCAAATTCAAACACAATCTAGATTCATTAAAATTAAATTTATTTATATGCAAACAATGAACCATGGAACACTACATCAAAAATGAATGATGTAATGTATGGTGATTAACATAATAATAATAAATAAATAATAAAATAAAATTGAGTTTATTTGATTTGAATAAGATGTTTTCATTAATAATACGTAATCGTGAATAATCATTAGAATGTAATTGTTTTGAAAAGTGACTCAATCCAATTTTCTGTGTCAAAACGCTCATATAAAAATACCCTCAAGTTCTACAACCTCTGTTCAGCCTTGGAGAATCTTGTGCATTTCTAGAGTTTGAACAATCAGAAATGATAAGGCAAGGGCTGATCCCTCTTTCAGGGAAAAGTAAATATTCTACTTCTATCTATGACAATGGTTCACAAAAGAGTTGAATCATAATCACTTGCAGAACTTTTTAAAAATATTAACGCTCTATGAGATTTTGACTGAGCCGGTCTACAACGTGTGGGTTTCATAACACATTTCACAATGCAATTATGCTTATGTTTTATGAAAGAAGGAAAGGTGCTTCATTCTCTAAAGTCCTAAACTGAATTTACTTGAGGTAGAGAGGGTGATAACCATATATTCATTATCCTACCTCATTGTAGAGATATAAACTTGCCACCAAGTAACCCTGATAAGGCAAGCTCCTATTTTTAGTTTGGGCATAGATCACTGAGATTATGCTATAAAATGCAACTTTTATTGAAGAACAATTTATGGGAGTTGTTGAATTATAATAAGGCCAAGGTAAATAGCAAAATGAAATATACACAGTCTGTAGGATTTACAGAACTGCCAAAAAAGTTGCAAAATAAGCAAATGGATGCTCTTAAGGCCATTTGTAACATATGCAACTTGTGTTTCCATTTGCTCTCAGACAAATTACATCAAATTTAAATGTTATTCTTCAGAAAGTCCGTTCAATAAAATGCCCCACCATAATTTCTGCATGGCTAATGTCTGCTCTCAACAATGAAGACCAGCTTGCTGTCAAAACTTTTAGAGAGGCTCCAAGTGGAATGAATTCTGATGAACAAAATTTCTGAAATCTATTTTGGTCCCCCAATCCCTGTTTTTCTTTTGACCATTAATCTAAGCCAAAAGCACCTTGTCTTATAAAAACTTACTTCATAAAATACCTCTTGTAAAACAGAAGAAAATGGAAATTTTGAAATTAGAAACAGAATACAAAAAAAGTAAAAGAAACAAAGAAAACAAGCAACTCCTTAACTAGATCTAGCATCTTTAGATGTTTAAGCAGAAAAAGTGGTTAAGGAAGTTTACCCTGAAAATTGTATGGTTATGTTATATACCATTAAAATAGCTAGATTGTCAGGGACAATAGCTAGCTTTTCTATGGCACTGATATTAAAACAGGAGGAAATTAACTAAAATCTGGGTACTAGAAATAACTTATTGATGATGAATATTTTCACATATCAAGTGGATTAATTGAAGAAAATTGTCTGCTTGTTTACTTCTACGTTAGATATCTTTTGGAATAACACAAAGATTATATTTCCTTGAAGCAGGAATAACACATAATAAAAAGTGGACTTCCCTTTAAGAAAAAGGGCAAAAACATATTCATGTTCTCCAGGGTTTTTTTGGTTTTTGTTTGTTTGTTTGTTTTCTGGGTTTTGGTTGTTTTTTTGTTTGTTTGTTTGTTTTATAAGAATCACAAGAGAAAATAATTTTTTAAATAAAGTTTTCAAAAGATAAAATTTCTCGGGGTGCCCGGGTGGCTTAGTCAGTTAGGCAGCCAACTCTGGATTTTGGCTTAGGTTGTGATCTCAGGGTCCTGGGATCAATCCTCGCCATTGTGCTCTGTGCTCAATAAGGAGTCTGATGAGGATTCTCTCTCTCTCCCTCTTCCTTTCCCCTCACTTCTGGGCTCTCTCTCTCTAAAATAAATAAATAAATCTTAAAAGATAAATTTTTTCTCTCCTGACACCCTAAAATACCTCTTAAATGTATACCAAATGTTACCATAAAAGGTTAACAAGTATCCAAAATGAGGTCAGTAACTCATTTTTCAATAAGAGCAGGCTCATCTCATACCCCCTGGTGTACAAATTATTAAATTTTTGAAATATAAGTACATATATTATCTGGTGAAACTATACCCCTATTTTATGTAATCTAATTCAAATTTCTAGCTATAAAAGATACAGAAATATATGTGGCTGTTACTCTTGCATATGTCCATCTTTTAATGACATCTTTGTAGATGTTGTCATTTCTATTTATCAGTGTGCACTCATGTGAGAACTCTACAATCTACCTTCTAGTTCCCCTCCCTGGAGATTCAGCAGCTCCAGAAACTCCATCCTGATCTAGTCAGATATTTCAATGTATGAGTATAAGATGTAGTTTTATCTTAGCCATTATGTAAACATAGCATAAGTCCTTACTTATAAAATTTCCTGTGTAATCACTGAATGAGCAACTCATAAGAGGAAAGTTTTAGTGTTTTACTGTGTTTATATGGGACATTTTCTTTGAAGAAACTCCAAATTTGGTATATTCTTTTCTTTAGTTTTCTGCTATATATTAGCAGAATTTGCTCCCAGTTGGTGCTGGGAATTGCTCACATTTGTTGATGAGAATTTGGTGTTTAATGTTTGCTTTATAGCTGTTAAATAAGCTTTTATGATTTGGCTGAGAACATTTCACTTCTTTCTTATTACACCTGACCAAACTTGGTAGCCAAATCAGGAACTTTTTTCAAAAATTCAGATGTGAAAAATGTCACTTGAACACTAAGTAGAATTATGCTTCATTTTCCTTTTAAAATACATGATAATCACCACCGAAATTGAATGATATGAAATAATTTAGTGTGGAACACACTTGCATTAGTATAAAATCAATAGACTCTTTAGTACTTATCACTAGAGACTCCAATGTGTTGTATTGAGGAGGCATTGAATGGAAAATAAGACAGTTTCCCTGTTCTTTAGAATTTTACACAGGATAAGGTGAGTATATATTATGTGTATGTGTACATGTAGGCATATGTTTATGTATATACACATGCAAATTTCACATTAAGAGTGAATGCAACTATTTTTTTTTTTATAATTAGACTATGGTACTGACACATTGTTTTATACACAAATAGACCCCAAATCCTCATTGGTTGATCACCTGGATGTTCTGTGTGAATCAATTCATCTATCTGGAGTGTGCATAGATCAATATACAATGTCATTGCCTGATACAGTCACAGGTATTGTCACAGCTCAGACTGTGTTATCTTTGTATTTTGATGGTTGTTTAACAGTAAAGTGGTAGCTCTAACTCCTGCCCATCCATTATAAACTAGAGTTAATACTTACCCTAATTATTCCCTGGCCAACTTCCAATCCTGACTGGTAGAAACAATTTCCTTAAATTATAATCTCTTTCAGTCTTAATTTTCAGCCTTACATCTAATCCAATCCAATCCAATCCAATCATTACAACCACCCAGCTCTCTTTGGCACCCAGATTGGTATTGAACTATCATGTAGCCAATGAACACTTCATGTTCATGGTATTTTCTTTATATTTCCATAATAGTTTGCAAGTATATTTTGATTTTGAATTATCAAGTAGACCTTAAACCTCACGGACCAGGACTGAAACATTTGACTTTCTATTTTCCATAGCAACTATTAGAATGTCCTACCCATTAAAGACACTTTATTTTTGAATGCATGATCATATATTGAGTGAATGGGAAGACAGTGGGGGAAGGAATTCAGAAGTGGGCTATGAAACTGCTGGTGGAGGAGTAAAAGCAGGACAGAAATCTCTCCTGGACCTAACATTTTGCTGTATACAGTAAACAGAATATAAACATTATAATAGGGAGTAAGGTTTTCTATATACTTAAACATTCTCTTTAGTATGTTAGTGAATAGAGCTATAACTGTGAATATAATAATGGCTATTCATCACTTCTTCTTTATATAATGGAGGACTGGGTAATTGAGAATTGTGCTTCTGAAGAGAATTTTAAAACCTTTCCAAAAATCAATATAGATATAATGAGATAGTAAAATATCTATGTCGATATATATATACATATGATCAAGATCCAGGAGAGAATGGGAATCTAGAAATGTGGGCTCATTTTCATAAAATACCCCTTTTTGGTGTGCCTGTATGGCTCAACCGGTTAAGTGTTTGACTCTTGATTTTGGCTCAGGTCAAGTTCTCAGGGTGGTGAGATTGAGCCCCACATCGGGCTCCATGCTGAGCATGGAGCCAGCTTAAGATACTCTCTCCACCTCTCCCCCTGCTCCTCCCCTGCCTGCATACTCTCTCTCTCTAAAATAAAATAAAAAATAAAATAAAATACCACTTTTATTCCAGAGGCTGATATGAAAAAGGTAGCTAAGAAGTTGAACTTCACATGGGTAAGTACACAAAAGTTTGAATTTAGGATCTATTATGGCTGAGGTCCTGCTAAGTCACTATGACCATCTTCACCAAATTTCGGCATGGATTCTGAAAGGGCTTCATTCTAGAAGTAACAATAGCAGAAATGTACCCAGCTTTGTAACAATAGCAGAACTGTACCCAGCTTTGAGTTATCTAGGTGGCCTAGATAAACTTGAACTATAAACTTATTTAAGGCAATTGCTAGAAATTCAGAAGCTTAGCAAACACAATTTAAAATACTTTTTGGAGGAAAATAAGATAAGCCTAAATCTCAAATTATTTCCAAATTAAATGTTCAAATTCTGCGTTTAGCAGATAATTCAACCAAAACACAAGGAGACAAGACCCCATGAGTGAAAACTAGCACAAATAACAAAAACAGAACCATATATACTCCAGATACTGGAATCAGCAAACAAACGCTATAAAACCAAGTAGATAAATACCAAATTGAAAATAACATCAGGAAGCTATAATACGTGACATGCGAGATTTTAAAAATTATTAAATGGAAATTCTAGAAGTGAAAAAAATACATTATTTATAATTAAGAAATCTATATGTTGGTTTAACAGCAGAATGGATGCTAACAAAGAGAGAATGAGTAAATTAGAAGTTAAATCAAAAGACTTTCCAGAATGAAGTAGAGAGAGACAAAAAGAGACAAAAGAGAAGAGACATAGAGAGCACAGTGTAAATATCTTAACATATTATATTTAGAGCCCAAGAAAGAGAAAAGGGAGAAAGAGAATGGGGTTAAAAATCATATTTGGGGATGTCATGATTTAGAGAATTAAAGAGATTCAAAGATTCAGGAAGAATGAAGAGTATCATGATAGTAAATATATGGATAAACCTAAGTGAACACTAACTGTATAAATAGTAAAACATCTGGTATGATTTATAGTATGTAGAATTAAAATATATTTAAAAAACAAATTAAAAAGGGAATAAATGAAGTTCAAGAAGTCTAATGCCTCGCATTTCTCAGAAGGCTAAAAGTATAAATTAACATTAGATTTTAATAAGTCAAGCATGAATGTTATAATTTCTAGGAAATCACTAAAAAGACTGGAAAGGGAATGTATATCTTTCAAACTAATACAAGGATTAAAAAAAAATGATAAATAATGCTGTGTTTAAAAGATGAATTAAGGGGCACCTGGGTGGCTCAGATGGTTAAGCGTCTGCCTTCGGCTCAGGTCATGATCCCAGGGTCCTGGGATCGAGCCTGCTTCTCCCTCACCCTCTACTGTTCCCCCAGCTTGACAGAGAGCAAATAAATAAATATTTATTGTCAAATAAATAAATAAAATCTGTCAAATAAATAAATAAAATCTTAAAAAAAAGACTTTCTTTCTTAAAAAAAATAAAAAATAAAAGATGAATTAAAGGAAACATAATAGGTAAAACAAAAAAAAAAAAGGCAAATTGTAGGTTGGCTGATTTAAACCAAAAATATATTAACAATTATACTAAATGTAAATAGACCAAGTAGACTAAAAATTAAATTCTCTTAAAAGAGATACATATAAAATATAAGCAAACAGAAAGATTAAAAATAAAATAATGGAAAGAGAACTGTCATGCAAATATTAACCAAGAAAAAACTGGTGTCACTAGATTAACATCAGACAAAATGAATTTAAAAGCAAAAATTACTGCTAGAGATATAGAGAATCACTACATAAATGTAGAAAATTCAATTCAGAATTTTTTTTAAATGTGTGCTCTTAATAGTATAACCTTAATATATATAAAACAAAGTAACAGAACTACAAACAGAAATAGACAAATCTACAATCATAGTGGGCTAGTTTGGAGGACCTCAGTAATTGAGAAAAAGTAGGAAATAAAAAGTAAATTCATTGAAGACCTGAACAAATCTTTTAACAAATTTGACCCAATGGGTATAGACCCTGCACTAAACTGCATCCAACACTGTACATAACAACTATAGAACACATATTCTTTTCAAGTTTATGGGAAGCATTTATGAAGTTGACAAAATACTGAATCATAAAGCAAATCTCAAAAAAATTTCAAAGACTTTAAAACATAGAGTGTAGGGTGCCTGGGTGGCTCAGTTGGTTAAGCGACTGCCTTCAGCTCAGGTCATGATCCTGGAGTCCCAGGATTGAGTCCCGCATCGGGCTCCCTGTTCAGCAGGGAGTCTGCTTCTCCCTCTGACCCTACCCTGTCTCATGCTCTATCTCATTCTCTCTCTCAAATAAATAAATAAAATCTTTAAAATAAATAAATAAATAAATAAAATAAAATAAAACATAGAGTGTGTTCCCTGTTCACAACATAATTATTACAGAAATCAACTAGAAAATCCCCCATATGCTTGGAAATTAAGAAATACATTTGTTATTGATCCATGGATCAAAGAAGATGTTATACAAGATATTTTTGAGCTGATTGATAAATCAAATACAACATATCAAAACAGTAGATGCAGATAAGACAAAACAGAGGAAAATGCATAGCATGAAATGTAGATATTAGGAAGGAAGAAAGATTAATAATTAATCAGGTAAGTATTCATTTTAAGAAATTAGAAAAAGAACAGCAAAGTAGCTATTGTTTTTCTCATATAGCTTATGGTTTGAAAGTGAAATTTTTAATACAGTAAACATCTTTATATGATCATAGCATGAGAAACAAAATCAGATAATATATCCTGGTTTATAAATTAATCTATTTAGTGCCTGTTGTGCAAGCTTATGGTTGGTATTCATTTGGCAAGTTTTTTTGGATGGAAACACAACACTATATCAATCAATCACTTTATGGTATATCTATAGTTTTTTAAATATGAAAGAGTTCTGAAGGTGTTCAGTATAATAACAGCATAGGCAGTAGACCTAATTACATGATCTTTTGAATTTTATCCTTTCAGAAACTAGTGCAGCATGTTTCTTATAATATATAAAACTAGAAAATATGTCATTACAATTGCCCCAACCTTTAAAAATTCTTACTCTTAAAAATTTTTACAGCCTAATTGACAGACTGGCATTTTACAAAGATTTACACCTTCAGACTATTGAAGTGTTTTTGTAATATACTTATCAAAATCATCATGATTAAATTGAGTATCAGAGTGGGAGAATTAGTATATTACCACTATGACTTCTCATTTTTAGGAATTAAAATATTAAATGTAATCTTTTACAAAAATACCCACAAACTATATTGAGTACTTCTCCTGAATTATATTACAACATGTAAGACATAGTAGTCATTTAATCAATGTTTTTGATCCTATCATTGAAATTTAACGAAAACCATTATTTACACCTTGCATCATACTATAAAAATATGCATATGAGGAAACTTTCAAATACGCAATAAAATATTTACAAAGAAAAAAGGGACAAAGCCTAAACAAAACAGAGAGATCAGCATACACAAACACATTCCATGCTTACTTGTACTATTCTTGGCAATGACTGCAAATTGGCTTCAATCTTCTTAGCTATTGTAACTTAATTATACATAATTTAATTGTCTCCAGACTGCACCACCCTGAATGTATAAATGAAATCACAGTCATACCTATGCCAACATTCTATATAGCTTTGCCCTCCACCTAAGGAGCTACCTAGAGCATTCTGAAGCTTCCTTGGGGCATTTCCTCCATCAGTATGTCTGGAAGCTGTAAATATATTATCTTCCCAATTCTGATAAGCACTGTGGTATTATTTCCTTCAGGCTCCCCACTGCAGCTCACTTGCTGTTGTTCTGGGCTCTTGACACTCACCTGGATGCCTTTTCTTCTTACACAGTAACTTCAATGGCCAAAATGTGGACAAAATTCTTTCCCTAATAAATCCTACAACACAACTGAGTTCAGGACTTAATACTAAATCAACCTCTACTAAAGATCAAAAAATAACTGAAACAAATTAGTAATTTACAACTAGCTACTTCATAAGGGAAACTGGTCTATATAGTGATAAAAGCATCCCCAAATCCATACCATTGTATATATAATCACTCAAAGAAACCTGTTGCTGCCTCTACTTCTTAAACACCTCTACTTCCTGCCATGGCCTCTGCTTTACAACGATGTGATCACGTTTGTGATTTTTCTCTGAACAAAGAAGTATTTGGCACCAAAGTTGTAATCACATCTTCACCTTTGCAAGATAAAAAACTACTCGCATGTCTAAAGTAATAGTGTTTGTAATTGTGTGTTGGGTTTTCTTTGTTTTTCTTTTCTTCTCTCTCTCTCACACACACACAAGATTTTAAAAACCTCAGGAGGACATGTATGTTATCCAGAGCCTCTGCAGCAAAAACCAGCTTGTTGCAAAGACAGGATACAGGAATGAGTACTTCATCCTGAAGTAATCATAGAAAACACATACAGGGGTGCCTGGGTGGCTCAGATGGCTAAGCGTCTGCCTTGGGCTCAAGTCATGATCCCAGGGTCCTGGGATTGAGCCCCATGTCGGGCTCCTGGCTCAGCGCGGAGCCTGCTTCTCCCTCTCCCTCTGCCTCTCTCCCTGCTCATGCTTTCTCTCTCTCTGTATCTCTGTGTCTCAAATGAATAAATAAAATCTTTGAAAAAAAAAAAAAAAGAAAACACTCTACATGCTTTATATCCGAATTTGGTGATCTCTGCCTTTTTCCCTTGGCTTTCTCTTAAGTGCTCTTGGGGTCAACCAGGGTATCCTTTATATGTTGATAGATCCCTGAATGTGGTTTTGGAGGTGGGAAGAAGTGACTGCTTTCAAAGAGTCATTACAATAGTCCTCCCCCACCCTTATCTGAGGAGAATACTTCCAAGACCCCCAGTGGGTGCCTGAAACCATGAATAGTACCAAACTGCACATATACTTTTTTCCCTATGCATACATACCTATGATAAAGTTCAATTTATAAAATAGGCACAGTAAGAGATTAACAACAATAGAATAGAATTATAATAATAGACAGAATAATTATAAAAATATACTGTAAT